GATAATGCTTTCTCTTTTATGGATATATTTTGAACGTGTATATCCGAGAGCCGTGACACAAATTACAGTCTTTAGGGTAGATACAGCATACACTCATGTATATGTTCATCGGAGCCGACAATACACCCACGCACAATACTGAATAATATACTCTAGAACACATGGCATTGCCACAGGGTATTATTTCAATGGCGACAAAATATATAATTGGTTGAGAAAGTGATGACAGTTTAACTATCACATTTTGTGTGGTATTGTACATTATACTAAAGGTTATATTTGTCTTCGTACAGATTGGATAACCCAGTGAACGAAAACCTCAAATATGAGATACTGACATATGGTAGGCATTAGTCTTCTACATACAGTCATCTATGTACTCATAGTGGTGCACGGTTACATTATTACTATTTATTTGTTGTGGCTTGCATTGATATATGGTCATTGCCACACGTGGGAAAGAATATCCTCACTCTTTTCGAGACACCGAGCAGCTCTTCTTGGCAATAAATATTTCCTGTCACTGGTGTATTGTATTGGGCTTGCAGATTTTGGATGCTTTATACTAGTGGTTTGTGTTACACTTGGGTTGTTTTTGTGTTCTTGAACTTGTAAATTTACCTCAAGTAATGTGAATAATATGAGGATACTTCAAAGTATGCGACCACGACCAAAACATCCGCTACACACATGTAAATGAACAAGTTATGAAATATGGCATCTAGTGAAATCGACACCATTTCTTACCTTACAAAACAAAAAGTTCAGAGGGGATCAGGTGTTACGTTAATAACCATTGTTCATAATCGCTAACTTGGTTTTATTCAATTGACAAAACTGCATTAATCACGCGTTTTCTGATGATTTCCGACAATTTCATGAACGATAAAAGCCTGAAGCAGAATATGATTCTTGTTTTTGAAGCTGCGTTACTATGTATTGTCAATAGATATTGGGGGACTATATGAAAATGTTTCTATATGAAAATAGAGAGAATTTCAAATTTTACAAACTTATGGGATATACAATGTCAGCTCATTTCATATGCCAGGGTTTGTGATACATATGATAACTTTATGAAAATACATTGTCTTTTTTCCTTAAAAGCACAATAACACTGTTACACAGATGATCACTTGTCTAAAGTAGACCTCAGATTTCGAACAGAAACCATTTGTTACTCTTCTCGAAACATCTGACACCGCTTCATGTATAACTTGGGGTCCTTTGAAATCTAGACCCTCTGAAATGATATTTCCTGCAGTTTGAGGGGGCACATTTTGCTGAAATACATAGTTGGATTTAAGTGAAAATATACAATGGGTTTCAGGCGACGCCCCTCCCCCACATTTTTCTGGAGGGCTACACTGAACGATCCTTAGTTGAGTATGTTATTTCCACTTTCAAAATGAGCGTGATACAACAATGTCTTGAAGATTTCAGTTTATAATGACAGCCAGAGTAGAACATTGTTCATTTTGGTGATAAAGGTCTATCAAATTAGTGTGTTATTTACCACACGAAAAAGAGGTCACAGCATCGCATTAGATACACTGATTATAAGAGTTGTGTCCAAGACAAGAATATCAAATTTAAGAATACAAGAATACGCTGATCATACACGATGACATGAAACACACCAAGATTTGAAGGTTGCTTGAAGGTTTTTAGTACATAATCTCACCAAGCTAGTTTGTCCCTACTAAAATCACTATGGGGAATCACAAAACTTGGGGTGTAGGCTCTTGGCAGTCAGGCAGGTGTCTCCATATATCAGCAGACAGACATTTCTTCACAAAAAAGAGCCGTTGAGTGCGAATACAGGTCACAGCTTGGGTAATAAAGTCACATCTTGCCCGGTAATAAAATGTTTAAGAATGTTTGAAACATCTCCAAACAAGTGTAATGTAATTCTAGTTTAGTAAGTAAAATTGAAATAAGTATGGATTGTATCACTTGTGTGTTAACAGGAACCCACAAATGATTTGGAATGTATTTTGGTTTTGTGACACTGTTATTATTTAGAAACACTCAGTTATGGGGAATTAGACAAATATTTTTTTTATTTTTTAAACAAGCGGGTAATCATTTTTAACGACGCTCTTCTAAGTAAAGCAGGTTGCCTAAATAGACGGAGATAGCGAGTGTTAAATGCAATCACTACTGACACAATGAATCGAATTATAATTATTAACACCAATAACAAATATTAAGTACTCAAATAGGAATCTTAAACAAAATTATTCATATATAAAATAAATAAATAGAGAACATTTAAATTGGGAGATTTAAACATATAAAGTAAAGTTGAGTAAAAAACTGTGTAAACTGCAAATCACTAACCCCTAAAAATAAGGATTAACGCTGTGGCTATGAAATCCTCCCCCACCCCCTTACTCTCCTGACCTTGCATTCTCTTCCTAGCCAAGAAGTTGTTTTTGACAGGAAAACGTTTCCCAGTTGATGCAGATGATGCAGCCTTGATTTCTGAAGTTACGACGTGGTTGGAGAACCAACCTGGGATGTTCTACAAAAACGGTGTCCAGAGCTGCATCAAACGATGGGAGAAATGCATAACTCTGGGTGGTTCCTATGTAGAGAAAGACTAATAACTGTGCCAAGTTTCATTAAACTCCTGCTGTGGGAAATGGGTCAGGGGCATTACTTATTGAACAACCCTCGTACTTTCCTAACTTCATGTTGCGAACAATTTTTACTTACGTTTTACTGAAGACCGCTGCAACTGAAATCTATGCGGGTGAGCCGAGGACCTTGACGAGTGGCTAGCCTGGCGAGTGGCTACGTGCAGTCGACTACGGTATAAACAAATAACCCACAGTTTCTTTATGCTTTGTGAACAATATTGAGAATGGATGAAAGATGTTAGTCAATATTGAGGATTTGTTGCATTTTACTAAAATCGGGACAATTTAAATCCTCGTCGGGTTGCTCGAGTTCGATTATTAACCCCCACCCGGACACCCGGCTTTTGTCTGTCCATATATATTTCTCAGAGATGCCTTAACTGATTTCAATGATACTAGGTACAAAGACACAGTGAGGATGTATACATGTTCACATGGATTTATTTCCTGATTTGATCAAACTTGGTAGAGACTTGATTTGTCAATATAAGATATATGCTATGCAATATTGAGTATCAATTCAATTAACGAGCCAATTTGCATATTTAATGATTTTGAATTTTTGTTGAATATATTTTGAACTAATTGTCCAAATAAGACCAAAAATTGTATAGACTTACTAGATCTGTCAATATAAGATATGTGCTATGCAATATTGAGTTTCAACTTAATTAATGGGCTCATTTGCATATTTAATTAATATTGATGATTTAAATATGTTAAGATATATTGATGTATTGGATTTAAACACTTTAGAGATTATTTGGGGATTTGGCCCAACTACTTTTTCATTCAAAATCGGATACCTACTTCCCGGCTCCATTCAAACTTTTAAACACGTTGGATTTAAACACGTTCAGACTTATCTATTGCAAACGTTTAATTTAAAATTACCGAAATATCGAGATAATTGGCACTATATTACTATTCGCCACATTTTGTTGCCGCATAACGAATTACATAGAAAAAAGCTTATTTGTCAATCTCACCAATACATACACAATAAAATGTTGTTGGAAACATGTCGCCCCACCCCAATCAAGCTGAAACCCTTTGTGTTATGTCATGTATGTCAGCAAAATTTGCCCCTCAAAATAGCGTTTCAGAGGGTCTAGATTTCAAAATGTTTTCAGACTCCCTTGGTAAGAGGGGATGAGCACATCTCGTGCCCCATGCAAAATGTCGCCGCCTCTGCTTGCCAATGAATGAATCAAATTGCCTAGATTCTCATTACACAACATGGAGATGTAGAACATTATTTCACTGTTTTATTACACTGAACTGTCATAATATAATTTAGTACAATAAGATATAATATAATTAGAATGAATAGAATAGATGGAAAATAATATAATGGTAATAGGAATATGCAATAATAGATCAATTGATTTTTTCAATGAAAATAAACTGCATTCACCCATAGTTGTAGTCGATACTCGGGTTTGTTTCATTCATATCTGTCTTGAGGTAGCCATCTTGCTACTACGATGTTAGAGCAGAAACTTAGATTTTTTGAATAAATTGGAATTACTGACAGCCAATATACCTCCGTCATAATAATGAATGTTTTGTTTATACTCAGAGTCACAGGTAATATCCTCGAAAAAGGATGTTGTCTAATGCGCGCAAATATTATCTTTGCAATCTTGCCACCTTTTTCACCAGGATGATGTTTATGGCTTCAGCTTCATCCTTTTACATGTACAATTATTGATGTGCTAAACCGCATTGAAAGTCAATAGCGTATTAATTTGTAATCTATTAGTGAGTATTGGTTGGACATGTTCAAAAATAATTCATATATATAAATACATATCATAATTTAACAAAAGTATTAAATAGCAAATACCTACACACAGACTTACGCACATTTACTAATATAAATCAAAATTCAAGTTAAGTGATAAGTGATACAAATTAATACTATATAAACAAATTTCAATACTGTGTTAGAGTTTGCGAGACAGTATGCCAATCAACTGTGGATCTAAAATTGATTCAAAATGTTCAATGATGAATATCAAAAGTCTTAATTTCATTTAGACATTCTAGTACTTGACTGAGATTTCCGGCATTATCTGCATGTTTACCTCACAAATGACGTTATTAATATAATTTTTATTGACGAGTCCGTATTTGTGTTCTAATTATTTCTTTATAAAAAAAACGCCGGGAACAAGCATCCATGCTTGTATACACACGTTATTAACGCAACATATATATATAAATATAGAACATAATATATACTGCAATTGACAAATCATACATTGTTATACACCAATACCAATAGTGGCGTTACTTAAGTCAATTTTGACCTACAAAAGTATAGACGCAACTCAACATTTTTCTTTGAGATTACAGTGACACTTCTTCGACACCAGCTAGTTTGATAGGGCGCGGTGTAGCTTTCGACTCTGGTTTGGTCGGCATGGACAGTACTGACACCGTCGTTGTGCCGACACGATTGCTTTTCAAAATTGCTTCACGGCAACAACAGAATATGTATGAGATAATTACGGCATAACCATCGCGGAATTGCTTGTTCATGACTCCGTACAATATACTGTCCAATGCGCTGTTTCCGTGTGCCATAATCCAAACAGTGATATGTATATAATGCGGCCAAGTGTCATTGACGTCCGCTACAACTACTATGGCGTAAGGAACCCAGCACGTAATGAACACGAGAAAGATAGCAAACAACGTTTTCATCAACTGTATATCTTTTTTTTTCAGTCTGACTGTATTTCTCTGGAATCCTCCAGTGAATGTCAGACCATGATTTCGAACCAGTAAATATACGCTGATATAGCAGTACAATATGATGCATGCCGGTACGAGTACCGCTGATATGACGAAAAACAACAACCAGCTGAGACTAGCTGTTCGGCTGTATGAACAAACCATTGTCTTGGCGTCGTAACCGTGATCACCCCAACCAACAAAGTTCGGGAAATCTAACAGAAAACAGCTAAGCCAGACGGCCGCTGCCATCGCCAGAGTGGTGGGCACTGTATAGATCTTCCTATACAGATGGGACTTGCATATATATATGTATCTGTTAATACCAACCGCCATGATGTTCCAGAGCGAACAACTGCAACATATGAGGCAGAACGAACCTACAAACGCGCATAAGGTAGTTTGAGGAGGTAAAAATTGGCGAGACGTGATGATACCGACGATGGTGAACGCATCAACCAACGAGGTGACACCGATATCTGCTACAGCTAGATTGACGATAAATATATTGGATACAGTGTGTAATTTCTTGTTCATAATCACCGTCAACAGTACCAAAGTATTACCACAGGTCCCCATCATGCACAGGCAAATCGTTACCAGTAGATACACGGCGATAAAAGGGTCATCTTCGACCACCTCTCGAAAGTGTAGTAGATTCTCACTATTAGTAGTTGAGTTGGACATATATTCTGCCATGGATGTATGTATAGTTTTAACAACAACCGTTCTTCGACACTGTTTCCTCACATACACTCTGTGATATCTGCTCCGGTTTACGAAGTGTTCAGAAACCACCTAGATGGGCACACCAACATATATCATGAAACTTGCTCTTAAATATCTCTGTATCGCAACATATGTGGTGACGTCACTGAAATTATAATCAATGCTATCTTTCATAAGGAATGGAATGACACAATACATGGGCAGGTAAGCATGCGTAGTCGGAACTTATGGCGTCTAATGCAAAATCAGTAGTCATATTAATGAAGCACAGAAGCCGAAAGTGTAATTTCTAAAATCAATCTTGAAGGCAAAATATTTCTCGACGTTGGTGAAACTGCATAATTGCACAATCAGAATACTAACATACGGGCGAGTTAAATTCAATCCCCGATTAACGTACCATATAGTGAAATGCCTGATTTCAGAAAGTAACGACGGCTATGACCATTTCTGAGACTTCTAAGATCCCGTAAAAGATCTAATTAATTTCTCGATGCTCTTATATAATACAGCATTTTACTAAGTGTCACAGTCGCAATAACTCAAAATTACGCTATGCAGTCATCACAGAATTTACGTGTTTCAGTCGAACTAACTCGGAATTACGTTATGTAGTCGTCACAGAATTCATGTGTTACAGTCGAACTAACTCCGAATTACGTTTGTAGTCGTCACAGAATTCACGTATCACAGTCGCATTAACTCGGAATTATGTTATGCAGTCGTCACATAATTCACGTGTTTCAGTCGCATTAACTCAGAATTGTGTTTTGCAGTCGTCACAGAATTCACGTGCTTCAGTCGAACTAAATCAGAATTACGTTTTGCAGTCGTCACAGAATTCACATGCTTCAGTTGAACTAACTCAGAATTATGAGATGTAGTCGTCACAGAATTCATGTGTCGCTGTCGCATTAACTCAGAATTACGTTATGCAGTCGTCACAGAATTCACGTGTTTCAGTCGCATTAACTCAGAATTGTGTTTGCAGTCGTCACAGAATTCACGTGCTTCAGTCGTATTAACTCAAAATTACGTTTTGCAGTCGTCACAGAATTCACATGTTCAGTCGAACTAACTCGGAATTATGTTATGTAGTCGTCACAGAATTCATGAGTTGCTGTCGCATTAACTCAGAATTACGTTATGTAGTCGACACGTAATTCACGTGCTTCAGTCGCATTAACTCGGAGTTATGTTATGTAGTCGTCACAGAATTCACGTGCTTCAGTAGCATTTGACTCAGAATTACGTATGTAGTTCTCACAGAATTCACGTGCTCCAGTCGCATTAACTCAAAATTATGTTATGTAGTCGTCACAGAATTCGTGTGTCGCTGTCGCATTAACTCAGCATTGCGTTATACAGTCGTCACAGAATTCACGTGCTTGAGTCAAACTAACTCAGAATTACGTTACGTAGTCGTCACAGAATTCACGTGCTTCAGTTGAACTAACTCAGCATTACGTTAAGTAGCCGTCACAGAATTCACACGCTTCAGTCGCATTAAATCAGAATTACGTATGTAGTTGTCACACGCAACGTAATATTACCGTAATTGGTATAGTACAGGTGTGATGGTTCAAATACCAAAATGGCTACAGTAACAGAAAGACTTCCTTGGCGGCGATGATAAAATACGAACACGGAGCCAACAGATGAGGTTTCAACTAGTACTGGTATTATTATACTCTGCAAACACCAAGTACAATAACACGGTAAAACTCCACTACTCCAATAACTAGATACTTAAACTCCAATACAACTCAATGAGATCTCCGATCTGAACTCAGTGCTGAACAACTACCCTATATATACCCCCACTGTCTACAAATAGACCATTACATCAGCATACATAATGAGTCTGGAACTTACTACACATTTCTAGAATGTTCCATTACCTTCTATTGCCTCCTACAGTGTTCTATTACCTATTCAACCAGTTTCTAAAAAAAATCTAGAATATTCCAACCAGACACAGTACGGTTCTAGAACATTCTCAGTGACACGGAAGTGGTAAATAAG